GTATACCTTTTCTAGGTACGTTAGCCTGTGACCACGGAAATTGGCCGAGTCAAGTGATGGATTAGTACGGAGAGATTGAGACAGAAGGAGGTACTGGATAGAGAGACCGGGATGGTTTTTAATGTGAAGACAACAACAACAACAACAATGTGAGAAACAACAACAACAACAACAAACTTGTTGCTGGAGGGGTCGCTCGACGATGAGTGTTCGTCGCCGGGGATACGGAGGTAAATGCACAGCACGGCGGTATTCAGTATCGCACGCCGTCTATAGGGGTTATCTCACCGGGTTGCCGGTATTCAGCACCGACGTGTACAGTAGTAGCACCAGCAAGCAAGGCGGCTGCATGTCTGTATGTTAGTTGGTCGCCGCACACCCTACCCATCGAAGAACGGAGAGATTGCACCGCCACAATCGCTGCATGATGATTCGGAAACATTGACAGTCCCAGTCGGAAAAAAACATCCTTAATTCCGAATACCAACTCCGATTGGACGATGCCGCGGTCCCCCGCGGCCTTGGTTGCGCCACCTCACATACACACCGCTGCCACCCCGACCAAGCACAGCCAAGAAATATGTCGTACCAGCACCATCGCCGAAAACGTCAAAGAGAGTCCTCCACTCCTACGGCGGCAGCCGTAGCCTTGGTCATCTCGATCGCTGGCCTTCTGGCCGCACAGGGAGACGCATTCTCGGCTACTACACTGCGGTTGAACGGCCTACATCAACATCATGCTTACTCGTCGCGGCGTCGTGTCTCCACAGCTACGGGTTGCGTCAAGGAAGTAGGGTTTGCATGGGGTGGTAGCTTCGTCGCACCAGAGAAGTCGTCGCCAACCGCTATCCGTGGAGAGGCTGGAGGCGTTGAGAGTCGACAGCCGGGACATGCGGTGGTCGTCACCATGGCTGCTGGGAGAGGAAAGGGCAGCGGTAACGCCAAGCGCAAGCCGCCTTCTCTGCCTCAGGTGCGGTTTGCCGTGCCGCCGGTTGTAGATGCTGGGGCGTCAAAAACGTGGTCCTTACAAGCATGTGTCCAGCGTAGCCTTGCGGGGGCCGAATACACTGCTGCACACACGGCCGACCGTGTTGAGGTTTGCCGGGATGATTGACGTAAGATACCACGCCCCCTGGACCGATTTCCAAAGCTCTTTTTCTCCAGGAGGACGAGGATGACAAAAATCAAATGGAACGTTTTCGGATATATCTCGACAAGGTGGTTCCATCGCTGCCATTTTCGGCACGGAAACCCCTGTTCCTGCCGAGTATTTCTAGCTTTGAAAACTGATCACCGCTCCACGGGGTGTGATATCTTACTCAACCTACGGTACACCTTTGTAGTTGATCAGTCACTCCCTGGACTACTGCTGTATACCGCTTTTTCGGTGCCTAAGGTACGGCGATAGAGCACAGGAGGGGGTGCCTACGCCTCCCTGGCCGTGAGTGATCCTGTTGAGGTGTTTGTGGGGGTAATATGTGATGATGTATGTATGAAGAGACTGCAGCAGGATTTCGTGCCACCCAACGGCAAGACGAGTGTTCCCGACCGAGGGAGGCACAGCAGTATTCAACTGCTTGATGTCACAGCGCTAACTGCCCTTGGGGATTCGGCCCAAACCACAGTCTTTCTTCTGAGATGTTGCAGGGCCCGAACCAGGAACTGTTCGCGTGATGTATGATATGACCATTTGGAGTTGCCCCCATTTCTGTGCGCACATCTATACAGCAAAAAAGACGTGCCGGTGTTGTCGGACGTGGAGACTCGCGCTCGACCGACTTGAACCCGACCCTATTCTAATACCTTTATAGTAGATGTGAACTCACGGAGGAAATGTACAAACTCCAGGGTTCTTACGTGCGGGCACTCACTGCTGAAGTCAGTGCGGAGTAGCAAGCTGCGGCAGCGAATGGCACGTTTATTAAATAGGAACATACCCTCGCGCTGTCGGGCGGTGCATCGTAAAATGCGACATGTTTTCCATGCGATATCGTGGCGTCGGATGGTACGAGGTGTGATATGTTTGGTGTAGCGATGGCGGCACGGGCGGGCTGGTTTACAGAACCGATTTCGAATGGTTCCCCTAGAGTCTGGCAGGGGTAGCGTTGCAGGGGCACGCCGGTTTCCTTCCAACCCTGCTGATCTATCTTTACGCGTACTGCTGCTGCTGCTGCTGTTCTAGCAAGAGAGAGGATGCGCGTGCCCAATGTTCAATTTCCTGCTTCCATCGACGCCGAGCGGGCACAAAGCTCTCTCGCGGCCCTCGCCAAGATTTATCGTTTGTCCGATTTTACGTCGCTTCTCTTTGAGTTCCGAATCTCAGGCCTCGGACACAAGTGATGCCCATCCTGTTTGCAACAGCTCCCAAGAAATTGATGAAACGCAGGTTGAATCAAATGAAACCTGGGTTTTCAGGAATCATGTCCGCCGCTCCCTCCCCTACCCCTTCAACCCCCCCTTTCCGTGGAAGGAAGACTTCCCTTCTTGTCCTCCCTTGGCTACACCGTACGCGGAAACACGATTCAGGAGTCACGTTCACCGCTCCTCTCCCTCACCCTTACCCTGGAAATCCTCTTGCCCCCCCTTGGCTACATATTTTTGCGGGGGGGAAAAAATAGGGCGAGTTCAGGCCGAAGCAGAGTCTCGGCCAGAACTACCTCTCGGACCAGAACTACGTGATGAAGATCTGCAACCACTTCGGCGACACCTCTGAGGGAGGCAGGCGGGTGTTGGAGCTTGGACCCGGCACCGGAGCTTTGACCCAGGTAAGGGCGGGTGAGAGGGCCCAGAAACAGTGGCGGGTTTCCTTGTCTGTTTGCGTTTGCTCTGAGACCGAAAGTCGGTCCGTTGTTGAAGGGCGGTTAGCTGTACGTGCGATGTGGGGCAGTTGGCTAATTGTATATCCTATCGGTTGAGGACTTCTGATGCCCACATGGGGCCTCGGTAACGAGTTGGCGGAGAAGGGTGGGGAGGTGTAGGGGCCTAATGTTGTAGTCAGAGTCGTGCATGGACCGCGAAGTCGTATGGCCGCATCAAAGGGAGGCGGTATTTCCATCGGTTCAGACGCGTGTTTTTTCCTACCATTCCCAGCATAAAAACGTTTTGGGGCGTCAAGCGAGGGATATGGGGATGTCTGGTCATGGAAGTTTTTTTTTTCTTGGAGATAAGTATTGGATTGGGGATCAATAGGGGCAAGCAGGACCTCCTGTTCGTCTGTGCCATGTTGAACGAAAGTTTGAGATTCGTTCGGCGGGCATTCCTTTGGCGGCAGCATACCCCCGTGCCCTCGTTGGCACTTCGCTACCGGTGTGGCTGCAAACATCCAACATTCCAATGGTCCGTCTCTGTTGGGCGTCGTCCTCTGTCCTCTATCATGTTCATCTTCTTCCCACGATTGCCCCTTATTTCCACCGCTGCCTGCCTGTGTAGCTCTAGGCTTCCTCTGTCTTCGCCGTCTTCTTCTCCGCCTCTGTGTATCTGTTTTTTGGGTCATGATGCCAGACCCTGCATCTGTAGCTCTTCCGTGAAGTCAACGTCGCATCAACAACGCATGCAGTCGGGATCCCTCCATGCTGCCGGTGGGGGTGGCCCGTAAGAGCCATACCACAGCCATGTGTCTGATTCCGACCCGCCTCATTCTTCTGTGGTGCTTGGGGTGATGGGTTGGGTCATCACGCACAAGCGGGTTGTTTTTGTGTCCACTCCATGGCCCCCGATGCAATCAGGCCGCCGAGAAGATCCTGGTGTGTTATTCTCAGCTGGTTATTCTCGGCGTATTACCCCCCGTTTTCCATTCTGCTGCTGTGCCAGGCCCTTGTACGCAGCGTCCTTTCTCGCTACAGCAGTGTCGCGCATTCGCCGCTCTGCCTTCGTCCTTTTCTCGGACTCGCCTTTCAGACCCTTTGATGTGTATAGCGTCATTTCTCGCCACACAGCAGTATTTCGCATGAGCCGCTCTGCCTCTGTACTTTCTTTATCTCGTCTTGCTTTGGTCGCCGTTTCAGGTTTTGCACGAAAGGTTTCCCGACATGCTGGCCGTGGACATCGACCAGCGAGCGATCGAGGTACGGCAGCAGTGTAGCTGACACAAGAGAGCCAGCCCAGCCCCTGGTGGATACATACTTCGGATGTTGCATGTTGTGGTTTGTGTATCTCCCGGATACATGGGAGTAAGCCTAGCCCTCGTGGATAGTCTGGATGTGATACGCGGATCGCTCAGGTACAACAGGAGGACTCGTATGGTCCTGATAAGACAGCAATAGGTTTCAGCCCTCGTGGATAATTTGGACATGATACGCGTACGACAGGAGCATTGCTCCTTACAAGCCGTCAGTGTGTACCCTTTGCTCCTCCGGTTCATCCCGAGCGGTGTGCGTCTGGCAAACCGCGTTGATGCTGCTACGACTGCCGTGGGGTATTGTCTCGCCGCCGCTGCTGCTGCTGCTGCTGCTGCTGCTGCTGCTACTTTTGTTGGTGTAACCCTCGCGTTCCTCGAATACCAAAATTAATCCGAAATCCGCCCCGCACTCCTACGCTGTTGCTCGGTCGTCCCTGGTCTCCGGTAGCTGCTGGGCAGCAACATGCCGTCCCTGAACGCGGTCATGTCGGACGTCCTGCAGCTGGACTACACCAAGCTGGCGGAGCTGAGGGGGGGGCCGCTGTCCGTGATTGGCAACCTCCCCTACCACATCACCAGTCAGGTATTGATGCCCAATCCCCGTGTGGGTTTTCGTCGCTTGGCAACGACGTTGTGAAACACGCCGATCGCTTCGCGAGCTCGACAACCAGGTTACCGGGGGGGGGGGGGGG